GGGCTTGGGGCAGCCGGGTGGGGTGGTGGGGTCTGTCTCCAAAGTTGTCGGCGCACTGGAGAGGTGCATGGGACCACTAACCTTGTGCCTATAATTTCAGGTGCAATCTTTTCGCCCCTTTCTGGTCTCATCTGGGGCTGCTCCTTCTAACTGGCTAGCCGCCTTTCCTCCCCAGGGCTGGGCGTCCGAGCAAGCTTTGAAAACTTCCACAAAGTCCTTCCAGTTTCAAGGGATAACCACACCCAACCCTGTTAACACTGTCGCTGCCAGCAGCTGCCTGCCAGCCCACACACCGCGGCTGACCCATGCTTGATGTCACCGCAGCTAGAACCGAGCAGTGAACAGTTTGTGGGCCCATGTTCCCCATTTTCTCTCCCATTCAAGCAGCTTAAAGTTGCTTGGCTAGAAACGTGCCAAGTGCTAGTGCTTATTTTTAAACCTTTATGAGGATTTGCCGAGAAGGTCAAACATATTAATGATAGCTGTGGTTCAAAGATAAGGCATCCTCTTATAAAATACTGGTCTTAAAAGTGATAATCACTCCTTGAATGTTGAGATGAGAGAGGCTTCAGTAATCTTTGGCTCAGTTTCTTCCAATTAAAAAAGGAGTGGGGTGTGTGTGCACATACTTTGAAAATCAGACCACAGGAAGATCTTTTAAAAAGGCAATAGTAATGATCCCAGATCTGCTCTGTCTGTTACTTCCTGTAGTCATCCCACACCCCTTAAATGATGCTAAAGTTCCATTTTTGACTTATCAGTAATGTACTCATGTGCAGTCGCAAAACAGTCCAGTTGAGCAAGTAGGTGATGACGCTACGTAACATCAAGGTGGCCCCCTGTGTGTGTCAGATACTATTCTAAACACTTTCCTTGCATTTGCCTATTTAACCCTTTCCCCAACTTGAAGGCACTACAGTTTACCTTAACCAGCCAGATGAGGATGCTGAGATGGACAGGAAAGCCAGTCATCCAACGGGGGGCAGGTGGTCTGTGCTCTTAATTACTGTGCCATGGAGTGAGCAGGCTTTAAGAGAAGAGAGGGTTTGAGGACACCCAACCTCATCAGGGATGGAGAATATGGCAAGAAGTCAGGAGATAATGACTCAGATTGACCAATCAGCATGCCTTGCAGATGAGGCAGCTATGCCCAGAGAGATCAAGAGATTCTCTCAAGTTGCCTGGTGAGTGAGGGTAAAGCTGCAACTGGAAACTGGGTCTTCTTCTTCCTTTCCTCCTCCTCCCTTTCTCCTCCTCATCTTCTTCCCTTTTCTTCTCCTCTTCCTCCTTCTTTTTCTCCATCTCCTCCTCCTCCTCCTTCTTTCCCCTCTCCTCCTCCACCACCACCTCCTCCTCCTCCTGGTATCTTCTGATTGGATGGGTGGGCCACACTTGTAATCCCAGTACTGGGAGAGCAGAGGCAGGAGAATCATGATTTTGAGGCCATCCTGGCCTATATTATGAGAATCAGTCCCCCATCCCCCAATACAAGTCAATTTCCCTTTCTTTTTTATTTCTTTATTTTTCCCCTATCCTCTCTCTATCTATTGACTCTTCTTATGTTTAAGCATGGGGACAACAATTCTTTGAAGGGGCATAGGGGATTGAACCTTGGGATTCATACTTGCTAGCAAGGACTTTACCAGCGATCCAAATGCCCTGCCTGATGGTAATTCTTTATCACAGGAAATCACTTAGACATGGCTCCTTGGGAAATCTTAGGAAGGAATCAAGAAGCCTTCGGTCATTTGTCTTTCTTGTGTTCTTCCATGTCAGTTTAAAAAAATTTAACATGCATGAAACTCAGAATGAAGGAGATGTTTGGAAGCAGCAAGTGTAGTCTTCTCTTCTGGTCTCAGGCCTTAATTCCCACACATGTCCACTTCAGAGAACTCTTTTCAAATCTGCACTTCGAGCTTCAACAGCATTCCGTCCCATTCCACTTTGCCGTGTCTATCTATGAGGGCAGTTTGAAGCTCTCTGCAGATCCTTCACTCTCATTTCCTCTCAGGAGAGCTCAGCTCCTCTGTGAACTGCCCTGTAGTCTCCTTGCCTTCTAGAGAGTGGACTCCAACAGTAGCTCTTCTGTAGCAGGGTTTTGCAGTGTCCTCTTCTTCCCTCTATGATTCTTCTTTCTTCTTCTTTTTTTTTTTTTTTTGGTTTTCGAGACAGGGTTTCTCTGTGGCTTTGGCGGCTGCCCTGGACCTAGTTCTTGTAGACCCAGGCTGGTCTCGAACTCACAGAGATCCACCTGCCTCTGCCTCCTGAGTGCTGGGATTAAAGGCGTGCACCACTAATGCCTGGCTTCCCTCTATGATTCTTAAAAACATTCCATCTTCCTGACATACCCTCATCTGTACCTACCTGCACAAATACACTTGCACAAGAACTACATATGTAAACATGGAATATCTAAAACAATGATAGAAATGCTATAGATAACTTGATGTATGACAGATACGAGTGAGAAAACTTTAAGCAAATTGTCTCATTGGGTCTTTCAGCCGCTCCAGGTGGGAAGTGTTGTAATTTTTCCAGAGCTATAAAACTTATGACTTTACACATGAATTTTCATGTTACAAAGTCCTGTACATGAGTCTATTCATGCATCTTTACTATATAAGTCCACACACTTTTACATACAAAGTCCACCATGAATCCATCAGCAGATTTTAGAAGCAACCCAAGAAAATAAGAATAAAGGAAACAGGAGTGCATTGGCTCTCACCTTCTTCAGTATACCCCATTTCACAGCCCCTCCCTGTTTCTGCACAGTCAGGGATTTCAAAATTCTTTGGAGTGACCCATCCCTGAACCAATTCAATCACATCCACTCTGTCCTAAGAAGGCAGGGCAAACCAGTGAGTTATGATTTCCTAGTGCATTTGGCAGTTGGAAATTCAAAACCACAGAGTAAGGATGGTAGGTTTTTAGGCACTGGAGCAGGACAGAGAAAGTTTACACTGACAGAGAGTGGAGGTGGGGTGGGGTGGAGGGGCTCTCAAATCACACCTGTAGGTGGTCCCTAACACCACCCACAGAGACCATAGTCTCAAGAAGACCTTTTCTTTTGAAGTGTTGGAAAACAGGGATGGATTTAAGTGGGGATTTTATGCTGGCTTTCCCAAGCACTCCTTGGCATTAAATCAGACAAATAGTTCCTAAAAAAACAAACAAAAAAAGGTGAAGTCTGCATTCTTTGCAGACTCTAGGCACAAAGCACCACACTCACTCCATCAACACTCCTTACAAGGTGATTCCAGTCTATATGCTTGTTTAATATCTGTAAGGTACATAGGAGTTTACACTGCTTGGTTTACATGTCAATTCATGTGAAAACCAGGTAAATCTGGTCATTTGGTTCCCCTATTCAGCATCCTTCCTACTGGCCTTAGGCTAAAATCCAAATCTTTCTTCTGGCCCATAAGACCTTGTATGATCTGGCTTATTTGCCTGAGCTTGTACGAACATATCCCCTCTGTGTTCCAGAGGTACTGCCCTTCCCCCTTAGCCCCCCCTCCTCCCTCTCTCCCACTCTCCCCCCTCCCTTCCTCTTGCCTGTTTCACATTCTCTGTGACTTTGAGGTTTAACTAAATGCTCCCTTCTTCTGGGAAATGACCTTGATTTCTGTGCGTGTCCCGTGTGTCATCGTAGCCTTCTCTTTCATAAAGGTTTCATATCACAACTCAGTACTTTATCATTCATTAGTGTCCAATGTTCCAAAACAGAGCAGAAGGGAATGAAGCACTTACTTGTCCAAGTATGAAGCTACTATGTAGTTGCTGCTCACTAACTGAGTATGAATGCACTTATGACTGGAAGAATGAAGACATGAGTGAATGAATGAATGAATGAATGAATGAATGAAGTTTTTAAAAACATTATGTTTGGAAATCTGGCAGTGTCCTATGCTTGTAATCCCAGCACTTGAGGAGCTGAAACTGCTGATTGTGAGTTCAAGGCCACCTTGAAACAATGTATCAAAAAAATCACATTTAGACCATTGTACATCAAACCTGTATTGTAGCACAGACATCTTTGGAGTCAAATGGAATACTCTGAGCTCCACCTTTTACTTGAACTAAGAATTTTCACCAGATTCAGGCAGGTGCCATTTAGCGTCTTGTCTCAAGATCTTGCCAATAACTTCTTGCCCCCAAACCCAGATGTTCTCTGATGGTACATGTGGGTCACCTTTGGGAACCTGACCACATTCATAGAGTCCTGATCCAGAAATGGGAGTCTTCTTAGGTGATGGTAGCTTATAGAGAAGGCTCTCATCTCTCTTCTTTCCTTGATCAAGGGTCGTGCTCTGGAGATAAGTCCTGTGATCTGAGCACTGCTCACCTACATGGGGAGCCATACAAAATGCCTGACTTCTGCCCCGGAGTAAATTACCTTCAAGGAACTAGCCATTCTCTGAGATTAAGAGAATTTCTTTCAATGTGAAAATTACATCACAAAATAAGTGTACTTGGTTTGTGTGTAATTTTGGAATTATAGTTTTAGTGGTATGCCATACTATTTGTTAGTGTGTGTGTGTGTGAGTGTATGTATGTATGTATGTATGTATGTATGTATGTATGTATGTGTATGTGTGTGTGCATGAGATGGCACAGATGTGAGGATCAGAAGACAACCCTTGGGAGTCAGTTCCCTCTTTCTACCAAATGGTCCAGGGGGCAAATTCAGGTGGTCAAGCCTGCAGAGCAAGTACTTTTGCTTGTGGGGCTATCTCACTGACCCATGTTAGTCATTTTTATTTTCTGCTCTTCGTGTTTGTAACCTCAGGAGCTCTACCATAAACTTAATCAT